AAAAGAAGAAGAGAAGAAGAAAAAAAAGAGGAGGCAGAGAAGAAGAAGAGATAAAAAACCTCTCACACCTCCAACTGACCGTGCTTCGCGCCCCCCTGATCAAAGACTTACAGCTCATAAGCGTTTTGAGGTGTTAAGAGGGGGGATAAGAAAGAGAAAAATAAAGAAGAAGGTAGAAGAGATAAAAGGAGAATAGACTCTCTCTAACATCTTGGACTGACCTTCCTTCGTGCGTCCCTTTTTCAGGGGACTTACGCTTGTAAGCATTTAGGAGAGAGAGAAAATTAGAGAGAAAGGGGGTGTAAAGAGATAAGGGACAAAGAGAGAAGGAAAAGTAAAAGATAAGAGAAGGAAGATAAGTAAGTGTGTGTGAGAGAGAAAGAGGGAATGAGATAATAAAGAAGAGACAGAGATCGTGAGAGCAAGAGAGGGAGAGAGTGTTAGGTGGGAGTGTGAGAAAATGAGTGTGTGATGAGCATGAAAGAAGAGAGAAACGTGAAAGTAAGAGAGGGAGTGTTTGGTCAGAGTGTGAGTGTGTGATGAGTGTGAAAGAAGAGAGAGACGTGAGAGTAAGAGAGGAAGAGAGCATAGAAGAGGGAGAGTGAGTGTAAGAGAAAGGCGAAGAGAGAGAAGGGTGTCCGTCCACAACTAGGCCGTGGGCATAAGGGAGAGAGAGAGTGTGAGGTGAGGGAGAAAAAAGTGAGAAAAGAAGGGGAGAAAGAGAGGAGCAGCGGCTAGCCCACTGCCCTTTGAGATAGAGAGAGATGAAAGAGGGAGTGAGGTGAGGGAGAAAGAAGAGAGAAAAGAAAGGGAGAAAGAGAGTGGGGCAGGGGCTAGCCCGCTGCCTTTTGAGGTTGAGAGAGATGAGAGAGTGAGAAAGGGGTAATAGAGTAGAGAAAGAACGAGAGAAAGGAAGTGGATGGGGGTCAATATTCTTCCTTCATATAAATGTGGAACATGAACTTTCTATGAAGTAACTAGGTAAAGCTTTCTTCTTTCACTTTACTTCATTCATTATTATATTTTTTTTTTTATTTAGGGTTTACTTCATTCATTATTATATTTTTATGGGTCCAAAACATTAATTTGATTGATTTAGGGTTCGATCAGAAGGATGTCTGCACTATTTACATTTTCAAAGCTGAGTATTGGGGTCGACTATGCCAAGTTTCTCATGAATTAGGGATAAGCTCTTAATGTTCTCACGCATGCCTTGGAAGCCTTTCAACCACTTCCACATGTGATTTTCTGAGAAATGAACCCACTTAATTACTCTTGCAAATCAAGGAGAAGATGAAGGATATTTCCATGTTGCATGGGATGATTCTTGAAGACTTCCAAGAGCTTTAAAGAATTTTTTTTTTTTTTAGGACATTGGCCTGGGATCCTATTCATACTTAATATGGGAGAATCAGCGTCGAGGTGGCAGCCTAGGCCACCCAGGCTGGGTCAATATTGGAACTTCCTTCAGATGAAGGTGGGATCAGAACTTTCTATGAAGTAACCTGGGTAAAGCTTTCTTCTCTCACTTCACTTCATTCACTTCACTTCATTCGTTATTACATTTTTATTTTGATTTAGGGTTTATTTCGCTCATTATTATATTTTTATGGCTCCAAAATTTTGATCTGCTTGATTTAAGGTTCGATCGGAAGGATGTCTGTGCTATAAACATTTCCAAAGCTGACTATTGGGGTTGACTATGCCAAGTTTCTCGTTCATTGTTTAGGGAATAAGGGATGGGTTCTTGATGTTCTCACGCATGCCGTGGCTGCCTCTTCAACCACTTCCACCTAGGATTTTCTAAGAAATGAACCCGCTCCGCTCAATTAATCAAAGAGAAGATGAAGGATATTTCCACGTTGTATGGGATGATTCTTGAAGACTTCTAACAGCCGTAAAGAGTTATTTTTAATAAAAACATTGGCCTAGGATCCCACTCATATTTAATAAGGGAGATGGCCTAGGATCCCATTCATATTTAATAAGGGAGAGTATGGGGCCGTCCAGCGATTAGGCAATGGGGCCGCCCAGGCGGCTCAACACGACGGGGCCGCTTAGGTGGGCCGCCCAAGCCGCACAACACTGCCCATGCCGCTCAGCTCTGGGCTCAATATCTGAACTTCCTTCGGATGAAGGTGGGACATGAACTTTCTATGAAGTAACCTGCCTAAAGCTTTCTTCTCTCACTTCATTTCATTCGTTATTATATTTTGATTTTGATTTAGGGTTTACTTCATTCATTATTATCTTTTTATGGGTCCAAAAAATTGATTTGCTTGATTTAGGGTTCCATCAGAAGGATGTGTGCGTTATTTACATTTTCAAAGGTGAGTATTGCAGTCGACTATGCCAAGTTTATCGTTCACTATTTAGGGAATAAGGAATGGAAGTTTATCGTTCACTCTTTAGGGAATAAGGAATGGGCTTTTGATGCTCTCGGCATGCTGTCTCTTCAACCACTTTCTGGGATTTTCTTAGAAATGAACCCACTTAATTACTTGTACAAATCAAGGAGAAGATGAAGGATACTCACGCAAATCAAGAAGAAGATGAAAGATATTTCCGGTATGATTCTTGAAGACTTCTAATAGCCTTAAAGAGTTTTTTTTTTTTTTTTAACATTGGCATGGGATCCCATTCATACTTAATATGGCACTCAACGCTGTCGAGGCCACCCAGCGCTAGGTCAATATTGGAATTTCCTTCAAATGAAAATGGGAGAGGAACTGTCGAGGCCACCCAGTAGGTCAATATTGGAATTTCTTTCAAAGGAAAGCGGGACAGGAACTTTGTATGAAGTAACCTAGTTAAAGCTTTCTTCTCTCACTTCACTCGTTATTATATTTTTATTTTGATTTAGGGTTTACTTCATTCGTTATTATATTTTTACGGGTCCAAAACATTGATTTGCTTGATTAAGGGTTCAATTAGAAAGATGTCTTTGCTATTTACATTTTCATAGGGCCGACTATGCCAAGTTTCTCTCGTTCACTGGGATGGGCTCTTGATGTTCTCACGCATGCCTTGGCTGCCTCTTCAACCCCTTCAGATTTTCTGAGAAATGAACACCCTCAATTACTCGCGCAAATCAAGGAGAAGATGAAGGATATTTGTACGTTGCATGGGATGATTCTTGAAAACTTCTAATAGCCTTAAACAGTTTTTTTTAGCATTGCCTGGGATCCCAGTCATACTTAATATGGGAGAATATGGGGCCGCCGAGAAGATGAAAGATATTTATACGTTGCATGGGATGATTCTTGACAACTTCTAATAGCCTTAAACAGTTTTTTTTAGCATTGCCCTGGGATCCCATTCATACTGAATATGGGAAAATATGGGGCTGCCAAGGCCGCTCAATGCCTAGGCAAACGGCCGCCCAGCACCGTCCAAGCCGCCCCAGTGCTGGGGGTAAATATTCAAACTTTATTCAAATGAATGTGGGAAATGAACTTTCTATGAAATAAATTGGGTAAAGCTTTCTTCTTTGACTTCACTCCATTCGTTATTATATTTTTATTTTTATTTAAGATTTACTTCATTCATTATTATATTTTTATGGGTCCAAAATACTGATTTGCTTGATTTAGGGTGACTTCACTCCGTTCGTTATCATATTTTTATTTTTATTTAAGGTTTATTTCATTCATTATTATATTTTTATGGGTCCAAAATATTGATTTGCTTGATTTAGGGTTTGATAAGAGGGACGTCTATACTAATTACATTTTAAGAAGGACGTGTGAGCTATTTACATTTTCAAAGTTGAGTATTGGGGCGGACTATTGCAAGTTGCTCGTTCACCCTTTAGGGAACACATGCCCTGGCTGCCTCTTCAACCACTTCCACCTAGGATTTTCTGAGAAATCCCTGGGCAAATCAAAGAGAAGATGAATGATATTTCCATGTTGCATGGGATGATTCTTGAAGACTTCTAAAAGCCTTAGAAAGTGTTTTTTTTAACATTGGCCTTCGCCCATGCCAGCGACCGCCCAAGCGCCCAGCACGGTCGCCTAGGCCACCTAGCGCTGGGTCAATATTAGAATTTTCTTGAGATGAAGGTGGGATAGGAACTTTCTATGAAGTAACCTGAGTAAAGCTTTCTTCTCTCACTTCACGTTACCATATTTTTATTTTTATTTACAGTCTACTTTATTCATTATTATATATTTTATGGGTTCGAAACATTGATTTGCTTGCTATTTGTATTTTCAAAGCTGAATATTGTGGCCGACTATGAGAAGTTTCTCCTTTAGGGAATAACGGATGGGTTCGTGATGTTCTCATGTGGTGACTGCCTCTTGAACCACTTCCATACTTAGAATTTTTTGAGAAATGAACCCGCAACCCGTTCAGTAACTCGCACAAATGAAGGAGAAGATAAAGGATATTTCCATATTACATGAGATGATTGTTGAAGACTTCCAAGAGGCTTAAAGTGCTTCTTTTTCCTTTTTTTTTTTGAACATTCGTCTGGGATCCGATTCATACTTACTATAGGAAAATATGAGGCTGCCCAGCACCGCCCAGGCCATTGGAACTTCCTTCAGATGGAGTGAGCGGCGCCGAGCGCTGAGGATCAATATTGGAACTTCCTTCAAATGAAGGTGGGACAGTAACTTTCTATGAAGTAACATGGGTAAAGCTTTCTTCTCTCACTTCACTTCATTTGTTATTACATTTTTATTTTGATTTAGGGTTTACTTCATTCATTATTATATTTTTATGGGTCCAAAACATTGATTTGCTTGATTTAGGGTTGGAAGGATGTCTGCGCTATTTACATTTTAAAATATTTACATTTTAAAATATTTACATTTTTAAAGCTGAATATTGGGGCTTACTATGCCAAGTTTCTCGTTCATCTTTAGGAAATAAGGGATGGGCTCTTGATGTTCTCATGCATGCCCTTGCTGTCTCTTCAGCCACTTCCCCTGGGATTTTTTGAGAAATGAACCCACTTAATTATTTGCACAAATAAAGGAAGCAACATAAAGGAGAAGATGAAGGATATTTCTACGCTCGCCGACGATGCCAAGTTTCTCGTTCACCTTTAGGGAATAAGGGATGGGCTCTTGATGTTCTCATGCATGCCCTGTCTGTCTCTTCAACCACTTCCCCTTGGATTTTTTGAGAAATGAACTGCTCAATTACTCGCTCAAATAAAGGAGAAGATGAATGATATTTCTACGCTCAATTACTCGCGTAAATTAAGGAGAATATAAGAGCCTTAAAGAGTTTTGAATATGGGGCCGCCTAGGTGGGCATGCTTAATATAAAAGAATATAGGGCCGCTCAGGTGGACCGCCCAGGCTGTGTAGCATACTTAATATAAGAGAATATGGGGCCGCTCAGGTGGACGTCCCAGGACTACACCGCCGCTCAGGGCCTACACGACCGCCTAGACTGCCGCCGAGGTCTATACACCCGCCCAGGGCCTAAGGGGCGCCAAGGCCGAGCATGGGATGATTGTTGAAGACTGGGCAGTAAATTTCTATGAAGCAACCTGGGTAAAGATTTCTTCTTTCACTTCACTTCATTAGTTATTATATTTTTATTTTGATTTAGGGTTTACTTCATTCATTATTATATTTTTATGGGTCCAAAACATTGATTTGCTTGATTTAGGGTTCGATCGGAAGGATGTCTGCGCTATTTACATTTTCAAAGGGGAGTATTGGGGCCGACTATGCGAAGTTTCTCGTTCCCCCTTTAGGGAATAAGGATCGGGTTTTCTCTCTAAAATAGGCTCTAATGGGTTTTAGGTTTGAAATGAACTTCAAACCTACAATTATTCTTCTTTACTATTAAAAAATGGACCCAAAATGACCTCAATAGGGGCATTTCCACACATGGGCGGGGCGTACGCCCATGGGCGGGATGCACATCCTAGGCGGCCGCGTAGGCTGGTTTTCGAGCGCTAGGTGGGGCGGCCGCATAGGCGGGTTTCCGGGCGCCTAGGTGGGGCGGCCGCGTAGGCGGGTTGCCAGATGCCTAGGTGGGGCGGCTGCATAGGCGGGTTTCTGGGAGCCTAGGCGGGTTCCAGGGCAAGTAGGTGGGCGTCCAGGGATCCTAGGTGGGCGTCCAGGGATTTGCACTTTTTTCAGGCGCCTAGGCCTAGGCGATGCGCCCAAGCCCAAAACCGCCTAGGCCGCCGCCCAGCTTGTAGGTTTTTTGAAACTATGCTTATAGTTTTTCTCTCCATAACTGCCTAGGCGAACATCCAGCTTGTCGGCTTGTGGGTTTTTTGAAACTATACTTACAGTTTTTCACCCCAGAATCGCCTAGGCGGCCACCCCGGCTTGAAACTATGCTTACAGTTTTTCAAATTGGTTGGCTTTCTCTTTCTCCCTCTTTATGACAGAAGGAAAACTTTGGGGATATGCTGAAGTCTGATATGAAATTCAACACTGAAACTATCAAGAGAGAGCGTGGGCGAGAGAGATGAGGGGAACCTTTCTTACAATAGATTTGGGTGGGCAAATGATGTTGTTCTGAGAAAGGGAAGAAGTTGCAGAAAGCAGTTGTTACAAATACACATAACTTCACTATATCTGTTTTCCAAGTAATTAGTTAATTGGGTGGGCGATGATTTGGGCAGACAGAGGCAGGAGGGTGGTGAACAATAAAGGAGGAAAATCAAGGAACTGAATACCCATTGCTTCTTCACTTTTCTTGTCAGACACAAGCACTATCCTACGAAACTACTCAAAACTCCTTCCCCATTGAGCTTGAAACTGAAAAGGAGAAAGAGGGATAGATAGAAGATGATGTCAGATATTGTTTCACAAACAACCAAGGAATTGAGTAAAACAATAAAAAAAGACAAAGGGAGGGAGGATTGAGCTTAGCTTAACAAGAAAGGTTAACCAATACTGAGACAGGGTTCTCCTTTTGCAGACTAGCGGATGTCTATGATACTTCCAAGGATGAATAAATAGCTCTTTTGACTTGTCTAAGAGTTTTCCCTCATTATATCAGTAAGGGCATAGACAGAGGATTACCCTGGAGAGAATGGCCGGTAATATTTTGCAGAAAATATAAATTAGAGGGATGAGAATGTCTGCCTCATAAGAAGAAAGGGAGAAGAAGAAGAAAGGGACAAGGAGGAGGAAGAAGAAGAAAGAAGGAGAGGGTTGGACCGGGTACCTAAGTGAGTGAGGCAAAAGGCTCGAACACACCTGTCGGGTGTGTTTCTCCCGGGTCCCTTGAAGGTGAAGTTGCTTGAAAGAAGGGCTTGGGCCTTTGAGTGAGGACTACAGGGATAAGGTTAGTGGGTAGGTCTAGGTTGAGAGGGTTAGGTTCAAGTAAGTATGGGTTGTGATGGACCTAAGCTAAGTTAGGCTAGGGAGTATGAGTGATTTGGGTTAAGTGGGTCAAGTATGGTGTATGGTCTATGATTTGGCAAGGAGTAGGTATGGTATAGGGACTAGAGATAAGTGTTAACAATGGGTGGTGTAAGATATGGTCTAGGTATGGACTACGGTTTAGGTGCGGACTAGGGAGTAGGGTTAGAAAGGTGTGGACTATGGTCTAGGTTTGGGTATGGTGGTCCAAGGGTATTCTCCTTGGGGCAAAATATTTCTCTCTCCTCTCTCTTGGGGTAGGAAAGAAGACACACACAAAGAAAGAGCTACCACAAAGCTTTTTTTAGGCTAGAAAATACATATTTTTGTAATAAAAAGTGAATTTTGTTTTTGGGCAAAAATAACCTTTTTGCCCATCACAATTTTTAGAGAATTCACTAAATCATCCCCAAAAAGGGGGCCCATGGTCTGGTTATCATTCGGTGCTCCTTTGGCCACTATACGACGAGCTTTCGGGCAATCAACCATCAGAAAAATGATCTTCATGCCGAGGGGATCGTTTTGGTGTCCATTATTAAGGTTGGGTCGAAGTATTGAGGGTGTTCTTAAAATCCACCCGAACCCATAAACTTGCAATATTGAACCTTCGATCTTGCTCGTTCTTCATTGTTTCGGGTTATTTTCTTCATCATAAATCAAAGGGAAGTTTATTGCGATCATTTTGCAATAAAAATCTCTTCGTTTGGATGTCAAACGATTACTTTTAAAATTGGGAAGTGGCCAGAAAATGGAATTCCGACCACCAGAAACATTCCTTCTTTTGGACTTGAAAAGGGTGCTTTCCGGTCATTGATCATGTATGATCTTTACCTCAAATCGAAGATCTTCGTGTCACGGTCACAATGGACCTATTCTTAAAGCTACATGAAGACATATCTTCAAAATATGGCCTCTAGAAGGGGTCGATTTTCTTCTTTAAAAAACTTGTAAAGCATGAGTGTTGGGATGCAACTTCTCTCCACGATTTCTCTCAATCCAGGCATCGACCGGAGCCGTATTTTATATCAAAATATGCGATTCGATGAGATCTAACTCGTGTACGAATTTGGGCTCGATGAGACTCTAGATGAGCAAGATATGAGCTTAGGAAGTTCATTCTGAAATTGAAAAGAGCAGTTTCCATAAATGGAAATTGGTTCTTTGAAGCATCATGTGAATAGTGTAAAACCCCCGTTTAAGTGAGTTGGCCTTAGGATAGTCCAATAGCGTCCAAACGAGTTGAAAATTGGTATCTAGCGGTTTTTGGGCCTTCCAGATCTAATAGAAGTGGTCTGGTACTCATCTGAGGCCTTGGCAGCATAGCTCCAGTTATAAGGTACTTTTCTGCTTGAAAGAGGGCGGTTCTACACAATGTAACTTTCATCCTGATCGACTTTGTCTTGATTGGATTAAGACAAAACTTGGTGGGCATTTTTAAAACATCGAATGCCATCTTTTCATGCTTTTTTAGGACAATTTGACACCTTTCCAAATTTAGGCTTATTCGGATCAGAGTTTCTGTAGTCCACAAGCATTTTAGTACTTGTGGATATAGGTCACAACTGGCTTTTCCATTATTCACATCGGGGATACAAACATGTCCAAAACACCCTACAGCAACGAGATTGAATTCGTACCATTGATCTTGGGTGACCTATAGGGTGCGAGATTTGAGCCCTCCATTCCATAGATTAGCCATCAACATCATATGGAATGTGCTAGAACATTTATCCTCCATTTTCTAAACCCATTTCCCATCAATTAAATTAATTATGAAAATATTAATTATATGTTTTCTACACTCATGCACAAGCCTCTTCATACATTTCATACTTGATTTCAAAACTTCCTCAAAATCAAATCTTTCCAAAACACATTATATCTTAGGCCTCAAGCCATATGGCTTGATCACATAAAAGGAAAGTAACATGAGGCAGGGTGTGCTACCTTTTGGTGGGCTTCTATAGGCCCCACCAAGTTGCAATGGTGCGCTCATGTATACTAATTGGCCTACATGCACAAATAAAATATTTTATGATTTTTAAAATTCATATGATTTTATTTGAATAATTAAAACAATGAAAAAAATCAATATATCTATATTTATAAATCCAAATTTCATAAATAAAATACCAAAGATTCAGGAAAATTCAAATAATAACTCTAAAAATCAAATAACATTAAACCAAATATAATTAAATACTTTTAATGGAAATTGGATCCATATGGTCTAGGAATAATCAAAATATTGGAGCACTTCACTTTCTACTGTGGACCACGATCCACTCTTGCTTTCTCAAACTGACCCAGTGGTTCTCATGACCAACATTCTATCGCAGAGGCTCACAACTGGGACGCTAAAGTCAGCCAATGGATAATGGGACATAACTTCAATATGTTGATTTCAGGTTCTCCCCTAGAGACCAATAAAAGTCACTTAAACCTGATGCAACCACAGCTCTATGGTGCATATGGGTAATATCTTGCACATGCACTTGATTTACCCTGAAAGGCGGTTCGCTTTCATGATACAACTATCATATGTGTAATATCGTATGATGTTACGTGGATGAGGCTTTGGCCCCCGTCTCTGAGGGCCACCATCACACACAAGGGTCACACAGTCCCTTGGCTGATTCATCCGGGTATACTCCGATCTCATCAAGGGATGACCAATTATAACCCTTATCGGTTTAATTTCTACGCTCAGTACTATGGGTTTTTTCCAACCGACTGGCTTAGTACATCAAGTTTAGTCCGATATCAGCAAACATCATTTGTTTAGTATGATTCACATAGGACCACACTCCTATTAAGTTCAAGTTCCATTATGTCAAATGTTTAATTACAAGTACTTATAAGGCCTTTAATGGCTACACATACCTAACATAAAGGCAGATAATTGTAGACACCTCAATTTCAATCGAGAAAATTGTACGAAAATTGAAGTTCTCCAAGACAGTCATCCAAAGATTTGAAGCATCTCCAAAACAGTTCACAGACGATCAAAGAGCAGCACGATGGCTTTTACCGGAGCGACCAACAACGTCAATGTTATTTAGAAATCCGTTATCACTTTGATTCATGCTTGGCGAGCATCTCAATCACAAGAACGTAAAAGCTATCGTTGTTATGTCTCTAGCGTGGCAACGCCAAAATCACACCCGTTGTAACATCATAGGAGGCGTGTTATGCAACCTGGAATGCTTACAGCTTGACAAAGTTGCAAGTTCTGTTGAATGAACATGTCAACACCAATGCCATTAAATTGCTTAGATTTAATCCTAGATTTCAACGTTCATTAAAGTGAACACCTGTCTATAAATAGAGAATTTCAACACTCAACTCTGTCACTCATAGAATTTTTAGAATTTTTGAAATATTACGCCAAGGTCCTACCCTTCTAAATCCAGAACCCGAACCCACACTCTGGCCTATGGAGTAGAAAATCCACACCTGAACTGATCCTGAACCAACACCACCTCCAAGCGCTGGGCCTAGTGACCTGGCCTCGAGTATATTTTCGTTTATTTTTTGTTTATTTTCTTTTCATTTTAGCTCTAGATTCTATTTCTAAAATCCTTTCAAAACCCTCTTTTTTCTGACCCTGATTTCTAGAAACTTCTGCCTAAACCTCAGTTCTCATGATACTAGGAGCCGGCTCAATCAGTCATTCGAGCAAAAGAGGTTTTGTTAGCCTAACTTTCGCCCAAACCACAATTTGATGGGACCCATTCTCATTCGGCGAGTATACTCATGAAAATGAGGTAGGGACTGTGCGACCTGCTGAATTTTTCAAGTATAAACAATACTACTGCATGATGTCTATTTGTCGGTTTCCAGTGGTTCACGGTGGAGATGAAATGTTGTTCTACTATTGTCTACTCAAAGAAATGTTCCACATCTATAAATGAAAACAATAGCGAAAGCTGCATAAAGTATAGTGTTTGCAAAGTGTATTGTTGTAATTTCATATTTTGATACAGTCCCAAAACATGAAAGAGGAGCGACAATCGATAGGCCTTCACTCAGTATTACATGGATACTGATCCGCGTGTTGGTATCCAATAGGAGAAAGGAGTGTGTAGGATTGGTATTAGTCGCGCTCGGGCTGCCCCAGCTCACAACTCATCTGGAGAATGAATCCCTGTGTTGATGATCTACTAGTTGATTCAAGATCTGGGTGATTCACCCCATTGAATTTCACAAGTGCCGAAATCGGTCGGGAATCCGAAATAACGGCACAAGCCGCCTCTGGAGGCTCTGCTTTGCCTCAGATCCAACTCAGGTTTCGCCCCAAACCTCCCCTTGGCCCATCTTGTTTGGTTCTGATTGTGGGCCATTCCATGCACCTGCTGCTCTGTTGACACCTATGGCTAGGTAGGCCGTCACTCAGTATTATATGGATATTAATACGCGTATTGGTATCTAATAAGTGACAACTCGTCTGTTGACACGTATGGCTATGAGGCTTTACGTGTTTTAGCCTACAATGTAGGAATCCAATATATCCAACGGTCATATGGTCCAACGTCCATATGATCGTAACCTCTTACTTTTCTCATAGACCATTTGGAAATCAAATAACCCTTTGTTGTCTCAGAGACCTGTTGGAGAAATACAATGGTTACTCCTTCTTCTCCCTATAAAATGGGAAGTCAGAAAGAGGATGTGAACCATAAATAAAATGGGTATATCTCTCTAAAAGTTAAGGGATAGAAAATCCGTGCTCATCACCAACCTCACGGCAACCCTTTCTCTGATATCGGGCTTGATATTATACGAGCTTCATCAATATTTACTAACAATGGTATCAGAGCAATCAGGTTCCATCTTCCCAATTTTTACTCTAAAATATTTTTTTTAAGGATCGAGCTCATATGATTTGTTTGTTACTATCCATGCCCAAATTTTGTGTATTAATCGTGCTTCAAAATACTGCTATCTTATCTTGGTTCAATGTCATCTTGATTCATCGTGTTAATTAGTTAAAAGATAAAAATATCACATGTTGCTATCTTATCTTGGTTCACAATGTTATCTTGATTCGCAGTGTTAATCAATTAAAGAATAAGTATGCGTACACTCTTATTCTGAATTTGTTTTTTAACGACAGGTTCACCTCTTCAACATCAAACCCCTAACCGTCACAAATGGTGAGGTTTTGTTCAGAGTGGGTGTGATACACTTCTGGCGCCAATTTCCTTGAATCTCCTAAAGTCATCCAATTCTTCCTATCTTGGTTCAGAACAAGCACCAAAGGCTCAACCTCAAGCTTCTTTGGCTACAGTAACACAAACTTAGAGCGGATCTTTGGGTGCTTCGGGAGACGACCTACTATGATATCCGACGATGCAAATTCAGGTACATTCAAAAGAACTAAAAGGGGAAGTAACAAACCTAGCTTCAATGGCTCTAAAACTCCTAGAAATAATGTTTTGAAATACAGTAGTCAACTCTTGATGGAAAACATTAAACCTACAACTATTTATAGACTTTATTGGACCCCCATTCTATTTCTAATATAAATAGCACTTATTATTAAAATATAATCCGAATTTGACACTTTTACCCAGACAAAAGCAAATAAGAAAAACTCATCCTAAAAATAACCCTGAAATGATAGCTTGACTTCACGTAGACATAATATTTCGCTCTAATGTTGAAATCATTTCGCAGGGGCTAACAAGCCTTCAAGCACTCAACAATTTCATTAGAATTCCTAAGAACAAGCATAGGCATAACTTTTCACTTTGATGTTGAAATCCCTATTATTTCCACAAAAGATGGTGTAAACCTTATGAGCTACAAACCAGCATCATCGATTTTCTTTGATCAATCGAGGCCCAAAAATGACACTAAAGCCCTAAATGTTGGACCTTAAAATTGTAGTGCCCAGTCAACCTGCACAACATCTACCTGGCCTAAGTGGGCTGAAGAAGAGGCCATTTGGCAACCAACATAAGTACCCTAGGTATCAATCGACCTATGGTAAGGCAAGTGCAAGGCCTTCCTCCTGAGGGCCGCAAGAGGTAACATTAGTCGTTATAGCAGTAGTGAACATCGCCACAAACCCAAATAGACACATGGTGGCAGCATGAGGACCTGACTATGTGTGTGGCCAGGCAAACTTGGTGGCAACAATGTACTTGGGCAAGTACAAGAAAGAGGATTTGTCTAGGCAAGCATGACCCTTGGGCCAAAGGCATGGTTTATGTGGACCTATGTATGACAACGTCCAACAAGGACAGGTGGGGAAAGCTGTCACACCCCTTCTCTTAGCATCACGCATGCAAGATACGTGAGGCATGCCAATCCCCTTAGCAACAAAACAAATAACAAAAATCTTGAGTGGACTTGTGCTACTTTAGTGGAATTAGCAATCTTTTCTCAAGCAAGGTTTTCAGACCAAGCAATATGAGGGAGGAGAAACCCTTAGTCATGACCTAGTAAGAAGGGAGTCTTATGCTGTATTGATGCATGATGCACACACATGGGGCCACCAAATAAAGACCTTAGTGCAAGACTTTGGGTAAGATGGTGGGGATGGATGGCTAAGGCTAACCTTAGGCAGAGACTTGGTTGGCTGGAGCATAGATAGTTCAACCTGAGCAGACATATGCAGGAGGCGAGTTAACCATACACCTCGGTGTGCAAATGTATTAAAACTGTGATGGTCACACATGGGCAGTTGAATTGTGTAGCTGCCCAGGCATGAGCTTATGTAGCGGTCTTAGGCAATGCAAGACAGGGTGTATGAACATGTAGTGGACTTTGTATACATTGAATCTTAGAAGTGATCAGGCAGGTTTGAATTAGCATGAATTACCAAATAAAGGTTTCCAGTTTTAAATTTTTTCAGCTTCAAGGGTTCCCAATATCCCAAGGGACTAAGGATCCACACAATAAAACATGCCTTACATAAAATTTGAGGTTCAAAATATCCAAATATAAAGCAATAACCAAAAATATTTCCCTGATGTTTTACATTGACATATACTAGAAATCTTAAAAAAGAAAGAAATAAAGAAGAAGAAGAAGAAGAGGTATAGTATGGTAGCCTTCCAGGCTTCCTGTGGTTCACCGACGCCCTCCAACCGTTCATATCAACCGTTCATTCTTCTGCTCAAAGCCCAGCCATAAGTTCTACATGACTTGGGTGATACATCCTAGTCATCCTTTGTTAAGATTGCTATACACCTAGGTTTCACAATTGCCTACAATCATAGGAACTAAGGGCCAATTTTTTCAGTGACCATAGGCATACATACTATGTAAAATTCCCTTGCTAGAAAGGCGGAGTACAATCTACCAGTTGTGCAGACATTAAAATCATGGGAGAGCATGCACAAGCTACCTAACCGAAAACCCTAGAAAAAAATGAAGTGCATGGTCAGCTACACGATGAACCATAGGACACCCCATCTATTGGAAGCTATTGAGATTGATTGCAGTTCCCATTACCGTTAAAGGAAATGTTTCTATACTTCCTCTGCAGCATAGAAGATCTATGCTTCCCTTACCATCCAGCCGTCCAATTTTGATTAAGAGAGTCACTCTTGATCTTAGATCCAACGTCTCAAAGTATTTTATTTTTAGTTTTTTTATACAAATTGTATGAATATGAAATTTGGTATGTGTCATCTTCTCATTGGGATGCATCTATAAAAAATATTAAAAATAATTTTTCGATAAAATATAATGACCAAAATACCCCTTGAAACTTTCAAATGTATTTGGGTCATTTTATTTTACTAAAAATATTTTTTTCATATTTTTCACTGGTGTGAGTTTAATAGAGGATTAGACATCCAAAATTTCGTGTTAATATAGTTTATAGAAAAAAAAATTAAAACTAAAATAATGTAGAGACATGATATTGTGATTGGTGCAATCTTAACCCTCGATTCAGAATGACTTGCTGCTGCATCAGATGATGATGATGATGACGTTGTTGATGATGATGCATAGGATGATCAAACCTCAACCCACCACCAGCATGGAATGGGTCATGGAGCATGCTGGTGGAGGAAGAAAAAGCTCAGGGCCATGACCACCTCTGTGATGATGTTGATGCTGGTCCATTTGACGACGTTGTTGCTGCATCATATTGAGATGAAAATCAGGTGGCAATGGCATAGGCTGTTGTTGACGCTGGTAGTGTAGTAGTTGTTGAGAAACTGCCGCATCCCAAGCAAATGTTGATGATGATATGGAGGTTCAGATTGGGCAAGAATGTGAGGGCCACCACCTCCTAATAACTCTCTCAATGGATTGTTAACACCCTCCCTCATGTGTTGGCCCTTTAGAAGGGCATCTAGGGAAGAGACAAAAAGTGGTTATGGTTGATAGAGTTCACTGGTGGAAGAATTTAAACCCAACCAATCTAAGGTATAGAGAGAGAATGATTAACATGTGGAAGAGTTTAAAGGGAAAAGACGGATAAAGCATGGATGGAAAAAAGATATAGAGAGAAAATTTGGTTGTTGAGAAATTGAATTTAAATAAATTTGATTAGTCAATAGAAAGAGAATACCCAGAGGGCCTATGAGAGAGGAAGAAAATTTCAGTTCTTGAATAACAAAAAATTTTAAATTTTTGGTATTTCAAATATTGAAATTAGCCTAATTTTGATATTAAACAACCGAAAAACCATTGATTTTGGTTATTCAACAACTGAAAAAAGGTAAAATTATCTTTTTCTTTTTTTATTTTTGTTATGACATGAAAAAAAATGATAGATAGGTAATAACGAAAACTATTCGGTAGTTTCGTAATAAAGCAAACTATAACAGATATGTACGTAATTTTCCAAAAAATAATAATACATTATTAAATATTTGGATGGTCCAATTTTATTTGGGTGGACCTTAGGTCCACCATATTTTACTTTTAACTTTTCATGAGGAGGTTCGTTTTTTTTGAACCACCTATCTTAACACTTCATGATTGAGGTGTTACAATCAGGCGTTTAAGAACGTCTTGATTGAGGTGTTACAATCAGGGGTTTAAAAACCGGCGAGTCGACCCAGAATCAGTCACCTAGTGTCGATTTCTACAATACTGGTTTTTGTACCACCCATATTGACACCTCCTTTGACATCTCATGGTTGAGGTGTTACAATTAGGGGTTTAAAAACCTCTTGATTGAGGTGTTACAATCAAGAGTTTAAAAACCAGTGAGCCAATCCAGAGTCAGCCATCTCGTGTCGAATCCTATAATATCGAAAATCGGGCGAAAAAACAGTGACTTGCTACAGTAAAACAGCGATTCCTATAATACCAAAAATCGGGAGATTCCTACAATACCGGAAACCGGGCGATTCCTACAATACCGAAAATCGGGCGATCATTTTTTGACGATTCCTACAATATCGAAAATCAAGCGAAAAAAATAACAACTCGCAATAATAAAATGATGATTCCTACAATACCGATACCCAGTGATTAAAAAAATGCCGAGTCAAATTGGACTCGCCCGGTTTGACTCGGGAATCGGTACTGGACATGCCGAATCGGTCAAAGAACACGGAATCGCCCGGTTCTAGAGAGAATCGGGCGATTCTGTACAGTGACTCGCCGATTCACTGTACGGAATAGGCGAGTCCCTTGAAGAACACGGGCTGCACAGTGTTCTTCATGGGATTCTTCAAAATTTGTCATTTTTTTATCATTTTTTTTGTTTTTTTTGCTCTGTGATCGAATATGCAAGCTTTACACAGATTTTTTCAGCCTTTTCATGGATTAAATGGTGGAGAAATTTCGTTTTTTTTTTATCATGAAAGTTGGGTTTTTAGGGTTTCTGCATTTCCTTGTGTTTCATGCCAAATGGGGCATGAATCTATGAATATTTGTCGTCATTTTGATCGTAAAGTTGTTCATCAAAACATTATGTTACGAATGTGTGAGAATCGTTGAGAAAAACAAAGTAATTTGGAGATTGAAGTCTCGGGTTCACGAAACCAGGTAAGAACTTTGGTTTTTTTTTTTTTCCGCCATATGATCAATTTCATTGCAGATTTTAAAAATAATGAGCTACATTTGTAGAGTTTTTAATCGTTATTGTGTCTTTTATCATGTAACATATTCAATTTTGTTTAATTTGCTCAATTACAGCCTGATTTTTTAGATGAACACAGTGATGTCTGAGAAAAAAAATTTCTACTGTTTTTTTTTTTTTTCCGCCTTTCGATTTTTTGTTCATGATATATTACAATTAATGTGTTAGATTTCTAGGGTTTTTAATCGTTATAGTCTTGTTTATAATCATATCTACTCAATTTGATCTGATTTATTCAATTTCAGCTTCATTTTTTAGATTCAATGACTGTTGTCTGTGAAGAACTGCGTTTTTTGTTTTTTTT